TGGCGCATCGCGCACAGCTTGCGGGATCCAGATGCACAGCGGGCCCTGGCTCCAAGTATGGAGACGTGCGTGGGGACCCCCGAGTGCCCCTTCTGAGCACACAGGAGCCCACGTGGCTGGGGGGCGGGCTAGTTCTATGCCTCCCACACGGATGCGAGGCCCTCTGGCTGAAGTGACTTCCAGGGTATTTTAAGGGCCCCTGGTGGCTCGGTCAGTCCAGCATCTGACTCTTGGACTTGGCTTGGGTGGTGAACTCGGGGTTGTGAGGTCGCTTCCTGCGTCCGTCTCTGTGCTCAGCAGGAAGTCTGCTTGAGATTCCCTCTTTCCCTCTGTCCCTCTCCCCACCCCCTAACACAAATAAATGACTCTTAAGAATAAAATAAAGGGCTAGCACCCTTTCCTCTGACTTTATTTTCCTCTTTTCTCCCCTTTGGGACCCAAAGATTATAGACTAAGATACTCAAACGCAACCGCATATAAAAGAAAAATTAGAAAGTGACCATGCAGGTCACCTGGGTGGCTTAGTCTGTTGGGTGTCTGCCTCTGGCTCAGGTCATGAACCCAGAGTTCCGGGATCCAGTCCTGCGTTGGGCTCCATGCTCAGTGGGGAGTCTGTTTCTCCTCAGCCTCTGCCCTCACTCATGGTCTCTCTCTCTCTCAAATAAATAATAAAATCTAGAAAGAAAGAAAGTAAGTAAGTAAGAAAATGACCATGCTATCACGCAGGCTAAGAAAAGACCAAATCAGACTTTCTGTTTACCGCTCACACTAATCCTTAGCACAGAGACAGGTAATAATAATAACAATAACACAGAAAATCCTGGGGAAGGAGGAGAGTCTGATTTCCAGAGTTACCACATTATTAGATTCAAAGATCTAGTCTTCAACAGAAAAATCACAGGGTGCACCAAGAAATGGGAAAGCACACCCATTCGATAGAAAAAAAGCTCAACAGAAACTGTTCCTGAGAAAGAGCCAGCAGGTCTGCTGAACAAAGACTTTAAAACAGTTGTCTGAAGGATGCTCAAAGCCTTAAGGAAGATGTGGAGAATGTCTGGGAGGTGCTGTGTGCCCCAAATGGCGAGACCAACAAAGAGGTAGAAAACCTAAAGAGAGACGGAAAAGGAAGCGCGGAGCCGGAAAGTGCAAGAACGGAGATCCAGCCAACCATCCGTTCAGTACAGACACGGAATGAAGGAGATTTAAAGGCAGATCTGAGCAGCAGAACAAAGGACTGGCAAACACAGCGACAGGACAGTAGAAATGATCAACTCTAAAGAACTGAAGAAGAAAAAGGTTGAAGTGAACAGAGCCCAAGGGACTTGTGACATCACCAACATGTGCATCAGGGGGTCCCAGAAGGAGGAGAGCGAGGGAAAGAGACGGAGAGCAGCTGGAGAAATTACGGCTTAAACTTCCCAGATTTGATGAGAGACATAAATATAAATATAAACATAATATATATATTTTATGTGTGTGTGATATATATAAAATATAAACATAATATAAACATCCAAGAGGCTCAGTGACCTCCAAGTTAAGGTGAACCCAAAGAACGTATACTGAGACACAGTGTGGTCAAACCTTCAAGACAAAATAGAAAGAATTTTGAAAGCAGCAGGAGAGAAGCTGCTGGTAGCATCCAAGGGTCCTCAGACAATGGGTGGGTTTCTCATCAGAAAATTTGGAGGCCAGAAGGCACCTGGCTTCTATAGCCAAAGTGCTAAAAAGAAAAAAAGTGTCAACTAAGAATCCTATTTCTACCAAAACTGTCCTTCCAGAGTGAGGGAGAAATTAAGACATTCCCCGTATACAAACGCGGAGGGAGCTCATTACCATTAGGCTTGCCTTGAAAGAGATGCTCAAAGGAGTTCTGCAGGGTGGGATGAAAACAGTCACGTAGTAAAGGGAATCCCCGCATGGCCATCTCAACGGATTCAGAGGAAAGCATGAGCCAAAAATTCAGCGCCCCTTCATGATAAAAACACTCAATGAACTGGGAGTAGAAGAAAACTATCTCAACATAATAAAAACCGTAGTCGAAAAGTCCATAACAAGCCTCATAGTCACTGGCGAAATACGGAAAGCTTTTCCTCTAAGATCGGAATAGAACAGGGACATCTGCTTATACTACTTCTCTTCACTATAGTATGAGAAATTCCAGCCAGAGCAATTGGACAAGAAAAAGAAATAAAGGGCATCCCCTTTGGAAAGGAAGAAGTAAACTTGTCTCTGTTTGCAGATAATGTGGTCTTATATGTAACCCCCTTATATGTGACCCCCTCGGGCCCTGCTGCTGGGAGCAAAAGGTCACCCTCGGGGGAACAGCAGGGCCCTTCCTCGAGCCGTCAGTCACGTGATCCCATACGACCCAGCAATTCCACTCTCGGGCAGGGACCCCAGAGACCGGAAACGGCATCTGCACCCCGTGGTCATAGCGGCGATGTCCGCAGGAGCTGAGAGACAGGGGGGACACCAGCGTCCGTGGATGGGTGAACGGACTGGGGAGGTGCGGGAATCCCACACACGGGAACGCTGTCAGCCTTCGCCGGGAAGGACATTCGGCCTCGTGTAAACATGGGCAAACCCTGAAGACGCTGCGCTCGGGGAGATGAGGCAGCCGGAAAGACGGACAGCGAGTGACTCCACCAGATCCGCAGCCAGCATTACAGGGACAGGAAGCGGAAGGCTGATCGCAGGCGCCGAGGAGGTGACGACTTGGAGCCGGTGTCCAACAGGACCACATCAGCCGTCCGGGACGAGAAGAGCCCTGGAGAGGGACAGTGGCGCTCTCCACGCGACGGGACGCCACAGACCTCCACGCTCACAAAGGGTCAGGAGGACGTTGTGTATATTTTACCACAATAACAAAAAAAGGAAAAGGAAACAATTTTTTCAAAAATTGAAAACAAGCTAAACAGGCAGCAACTGGAGAATTTTTAACTCGGAAGGAAAGAAAGAGTCGGGCGTGGCCCTCCTGCTTTCCTCTGCAAACTGGGCGTCTCTGTAACGATCTCGGTAACGCGCCAGTCCGCGGCCCGGGAGCAAAGGTCAGAAGCACACAGTCCTGACGACACCCAGCCCGGTTCACCGGCCTCCCGCTCTGATGCGTTCCTGAGCCTTCTGGGGAGCAACCCCCACCCACACAGCCAGGAGGGTCCCCAGAGGGGCACAAAGGGGGCGTGACGGTGTCGGAGAAGGAGCCTGCACAGAGGGGCAGAGTGTGCTGATGGACAGCTGGTCTCCATCACCCCCCACAAGGGGAGAGGGGACAAAAGCCGCGATGTTGGGGGGAGCCCTCTGTCTTCCCCCTGCAGAAAGCGAGGGCGCTTCTCTGGTGGGTCTGGAGTGCGAGAAGGTGGAGCGCGGGCCTTCCTCTCTGCGCCCTGGGCCGCTGGCCTTGTCCGCCTCCACCCCACACCCACCTCCCCTGCCCGCCTCTGAGGACGGGGGCAACCGACCGAACTTGCCAGTGTCGTGACCTTGACGTCTGGGTTGAGAAGACTCCGCGTCGGGGGACGTCTCTCCATCCGGTCTTCTCCTGTCCGAGTCCTTTGTCTGTCTCCGCGACTGGCCCCGGCCAGGCCGGGAGGACAGTGGCTGCACGAGCGTCACCTCGACGCAGACAGCATCACCTCACGGACGTCCTTCCTCGGTTAGACGACTCTTGATTTATTTTCCTCATGGTATGTTTTAGGTAGGGTTTGTGGTCTCCTACGGCAGCGGCGGCAAAGGTGGCGAAAACGCATGTATTCTGAGAGTTTCCCAGCAGATGGCAGCCGCGCGCCTGTTTGGAGACAAACCCGGCCTCACCGCGGCCCCGGACGGACCCGGGAGGCTCCGGGGGACGCTCGGTGCCCGTGGGCTCCTGAGGCAGCAGAGCAGTGGTCCGGAATCCAAGCGCCTTTCTGGCCCGACGTCATCTCAGACCCGTGCTTCTCAGCGCGGCACGACACGGGACTCTCAGAAGATGGTGGGTTTTGGTTTTATTCCAGCGTGTTCGGGCGTGGAAGCGACCGGGCGATGCGAGACGACGGGGACCCCGCGGATCTGACACCCGAAGACACATGGTGCCCGTCAGTGCCATGGCCGGGCGTGAGAGCTTTCTTAAAAGTCTGGGAAAAATTTAACAGTCTATGCTCTGGAATCGATGCTGTATTAAATATTAAAAATGTGATTTAGGAGCCTCGCGGGTACCCGTGGCTCCCACGCAGGTCTCTTCCGTTTAATGTCAAGAATCTATGCCTGGAAGCCAGTGTCCACAGCCACAGCAGCTGCGAGTCCATTTTAAGTGGGAAAAATTACAATAGTACTAAAAACCAGTAAAACATCTTTGTGCAAGTAACACTTACATATCATTGAAGGTGAAATGCTAAACACTTCCCTTCCCAAACACAGGGATGAGCACGGCTGTGCACAAGCCCACGGTAGGCACACGACCTCTGTCGGCCCCAGCCCTGCCCCCAGTGTGAACACAGTCGTCTGTGTATCCCTGGGCCCTGCAAAATGCCCTCCTGGGATTGCGATCACTTACCCATTGTTCCTGAGCTGTGACCCTCGGTTTTCCCCACACATTATTATTTCTTTTTTCAAGATTATTTATTTATTTATTGGACAGACAGAGATCACGAGTAGGCAGAGAGGCAGGCAGAGAGAGAGGGGGAAGCAGGCTCCCCACTGAGCAGAGAGCCCGATGCGGGGCTTGATCCCAGGACTCTGGGATCATGACCTGAGGCAAAGGCAGAGGCTTTAACCCACGGAGCCACCCAGGCGCCCCAGACACATTATTTTTTTTAAAGACTGTATTTATTTATTTGAGAGAGAGAGAGCATGAGTGGTGGGAGGGAGGGCAGAGGCAGAGGGAGAAGCAGACCGTCCACTGAGGAGGGACCCAACATGGGGCTCAATCCCAGGACCTTGAGATCATCACCTGAGTCAAAGTTAGATGCTTAACTAAGTCACCCAGGTGCCCCCTCCACATATTATTTTGGTAAAGTTCTTTTATTGATTTGGGGGGTTGTAAATATAAAAGATTCCTATATAAATATTGCTGGGAAAAAAATTGAGAAAAGTTTTCAATTAGCAATAATCGCCCCTCAGATAAGCCTCACTGGCTGTGATACGGCCACTGCACAAAGCTGGGAAGAGCTCGAGAGTTCCGTATGTTCTCAAAGTTGAGGCATCAAAAACCCAGAAGTTTTCCGTGTCAGAAAGGTCACCCTTAAAAAAAAAAAAAAAGTCACCCTTGGAGACATCTGTACACTGTGCCGGTCCTAGGTTTGGGTTTGGACGAGGCAAGGTCTAGGATACAAACACCTGTACACCTGGGATAAGGTGGATATTTTTTATTTTGCGGAAATCATAGCAAAATTCCATAACATGATGCCAGATCATTTATGCAGAAAACAATCACCAATACCAAATAATGTCACTCATTATTTAGAGGAAATAAAAACTACAAAACCGAATAATTAAAATGATGGAAAATGTGACAAGTATGATGGTTTTCAGCGAAGTGAGTGCTGGCCAGCTGTGCCCCCTCTTTCTCTGCTGCGTGGGTGGCTGGCCCTGCTGGCCCCCTGGGGGCAGGTGAGACCACGTGACTAGTGTTGGCCAATGAGGGGTGAAAGGAAGTGGCATCTTCCTACCAGAGCCTTTAATTGCCAGAGTTCTTTCCCTCAGTGAGGAAGACCAGGAATGTTCTAGATCGTGGTCATTTCTTCAGCCTGGATCCTGGAATGAAGCCAGTGGAGCAGAGTCTCAGCCAATTCACTTATTAGGAGCAAGAATAAATTTACAAAAAGGAAATGGGAAACAACCCAAGTATCCATTGACATGTACCCGTGTACATACGGGAGACTCATTCAGCCTTTAAAAAGAGTGGAATTCTGATATGCGCAACAATTTGAATGAACCTTAAAGTCATTATGGAATGCAAAGCAATCCAGACACAAGAAGACAGATCCCGTATGATTCCACTCATTGGAACTGCAGAGAGTAGTCTAATACACAGAGACAGAATGGAGATCAGTGCCACCAGAGGCTGGGGGTGGGGCAGGACATAACCAGTATCATTTAATGGGTCCAGAATTTCACTGTGGAATGACAAAAAAGTTTGGGAAATGAATAGTGGCAATGGCTATAAACTACACGGAGTGTATTTGATGCCACTGAACTATACCATGTTAAGTTGGTTAAGTGGTAAATTTTGTGTTTTACACATTTTAACACAATTGGAAACTTATTTTATTTTTCAAATTTTTAATTTTTAAATTATTTTAAAAAGTTTTATTCATTTATGTAATCTCTATGCCCAACCTGGGGCTTGAACTCATGACCCCAAAACCAAGACATCAGGCTCCCTGCTCAGTGGGGAGCCTGCTTCTCCCTCTCCCACTCCCTTTGCTTGTGTTCTTTCTCTCACTGTCTCTGTCTCCGTCAAATAAATAAATAAAATCTTTCAAAGAAAAATAAACACCTGTACTGAAAAGAACAAATATCTCAAATAAATAATCTAATCCTTCACCTTAAGAAACTAGAAGAGTGGGGCACCTGGGTGGTTTAGTGCATTAAGCCTCTGCCTTCAGCTTAGGTCATAGTCTCAGGGTCTTGGGATCGAGCCCCGCATCGGGCTCTCTGCTCGGCGGGAAGCCTTCTTCCGCCTCTCCCTCTGCCTGCCTCTCTGCCCACTTGTGATCTCTCTGTGTGTCAAATAAATAAATAAAATCTTAAAAAAAAAAAAAGGAAGGGGGACTAGAAGAGTAAACTAAATCTAAACCCAAAACAATCAGAAGGATGGGAATAATGAAGATGAGAGCAGAAACAGAATAGGAAAACATAGGAGGAAAAGTCAATGAAACCAAAAGTCGCTTTAAAAAGATAAATAAAATAGGAAAACCTCTAGCTAAACCGGCCAGGAGAAAAAGAGAAGACTGAAATCACTAAAATCATGTATGCAAATGGAGACATTACTACTGACCTTACAGAAATAAAAATGATTATTTTTTTATATCAGATGGTTTGAATACTACGAACAACTATATGCCAAAAGTTAGATGACCTAGATGAAAGGAAGTGATTCTTTGGAGGATGTTAAACTAACTCAAGAAGAAATAGAAGATTTGAGCAGACCCACAACAAGTAGAGAGAGACAGCAAACTAAAATCTTCCCTCGAAAAAAGCCCAGACAGATGGCTTCACTGCTGAATTCTACCAAAAGTTTAAAGAAGAATCAATACCAATTTGTCAAACTCTTCCAGAAGGGGTAGACTTCCTGACTCATTCTGAGAGGCCATTATGACCATCATAATGAAACCAAAGACATCACAAGAAAACTACAGACTTGTATCTCTTATGAACATGGGTGGAAAAAGTCCCACCAAAATACTAGCAAATTGAATCCACTAGTGTATGAAAAAGGGTTATACACAGTACCAGTAGGGATTTACCCCAGGAATGCAAGGTCACACTAGAAAGCAAGAAGACAGCCCACATAATGAGAGAAAATACTTGGAGATCACCTATCTGATAAGGGCCTCGTATTTAGAATCCGTAAAGAACACTTAACACTCAACAGTAGAAAGAAAAACTTTCCAACAGGCAAGGATTTGAGTGGATACTTTTCCACAGGAGATCTCCAAATGTCCAAGAAGCACATGAAAAGATGCTCAATGCCACTAGTCACTAGGGAAATGCAAATCAAAACCACAATGGGATACCTCTTTATCTTTAAAAGGATGGCCCTAATTTAAAAACAAACAAACGGAAAATAGCACGAATTGGAGAGGACGAGGAGAAATTGGAATCTTTGTGCACTGCCGGCGGGAAGGCAGAGGGTGCGGCTCCGTGGGGGAACAGTCGGGCGGGATGACCCCACGGCTCCACTCCCAGGGATCAAGGAGCAAATTTTAAGGAAAACTTACACACTAACATTCATAGCTGCATTATTCATGATAGCTAAGAAGTAACAACAACCCAGATTACCACCAATGATGAAGGGTAAAGAAAATGTGGGGCACCCACGTGATAGGATGTGACTCAGCCGTAAAAAGAAGGAGGCACTGACACCTGCTACCGCACGGATGAACCTTCGGAACATCACGTTCGTGGAAGAGTCCGGACGCGAACCACACACCATGCGAGTCAGTGGACAGGAAAACGCGCGGGGCTGGCAAGTCCCTAAGAGACACAAAAGGAATGAGGAGTTTCTAGGGGCTGGAGAATCACTGTTAGAAAGTATGGGGTTGCTCTTAGGAATGATGAAATGTTGCAGAATTGGATGGTGGTGATGGCTGTTGAACGTCGGTATATACTAAAAAACCCTGCATTGGGGCGCCTGGGTGGCTCCGTGGGTTAAGCCGCTGCCTTCGGCTCAGGTCATGATCTTGGGGTCCTGGGATCGAGCCCCGCATGGGGCTCTCTGCTCAGCAGGGAGCCTGCTTCCTCCTCTCTCTCTGCCTGCCTCTCTGCCTGCTTGTGATCTCTGTCTGTCAAATAAATAAATAAATAAATCTTTAAAAAAAAAATAACATAACATAGGGCACTTGGGTGGCTTAGTTGGATAAGCGACTGCCTTCAGCTCAGGTCACGATCCTGGCGCCCCAGGATCAAGTCCCGCGTTGGGCTCCCAGCTCCACGGCGGGTCTGCTTCTCCCTCTGACCTTCTTGCCTCTCATGCTCTCTCTCACTCTCTCTCTCTCTCAAATAAGTAAATAAAATCTTAAAAAAATAATAACATAACATTAAAAAAAACCTAAATGGAATTTCTTAAAAAAAAAACACCTGAATTGTTCACTTTTAAAGGAGTGAATTTTATGATAGCGAATTATATTTCGAGAGAGAGCATGAGACGCTGAGACAAGGCAGACTGGTTTGCAAGCCAGGGAAAGGGAAGGGAGCCAGTCTGTCGTTTCGGGGACTTACAAAGAGACAACTGGTTCTCAAGGGTGGACAGAGACCCGAGGGACAGGAGCGGCTACACCTCAGCCCGAAGTCAGGGGTAGGTCCGGGCAGCACCGTGTGCCCCTCAGCTCTCCGGCAGGTTAGGCCGGCGCCTGGTACATCCTCTCAAGTTACAAAATGGTTCAAGGTAAAGACACTGAAGGTTCCGGGTGAGGCTGAGGAGTTCACGACCAAATCAAGAAAAGGAGAACAGGATCTGCGTGTCCAGAGGGATCTCAAGATTCCACAGTCTTTCTCGAAGAGATCCGGGGGCGTGTCCGCGGGCACACAGAGCTCACTGGCATCGGATGGGTCAGAAACCAGTTCGTTGTTTTTTGGTCTTTTTTTTTTAAGATTTTATTTTTAAGTCGTCTCTGCACCCAACGTGGGGCTTGAACTCACAACCCTGAGACCAAGAGTCACACATTCCACCAGCTGAGCCAGCCGGGGGCCCCCAGTTAGTTTTATTTTTTTAAAAAATTCTCTGGGGCGACGGGGGGCTCAGTGGGTTGAGCATCTGCCTTTGGCTCAGGTCATGATCCCGGAGTACTGGGATCCAGTCCTAGGATCCAGTCCCATACGGGGGGAAAAAAAAAATCCCTGATCAGCCGGGAGTCTGCTTCTCCTTCTGCGTCTGCCCCTCCCCCTGCCGGTGAGGTGCTCTCTCTCAAAAGTTAATTTTTAAAAATCTTTGAAAACATTTCTACAGCAGAGAATTGGAATACAAGAAGCCACTCCCACTTACCCATACCAGCCTCCTCAACAATGAGGAGCCCATGGCCGAGCCCATGGCCGACGTTTTGGTCTCTAGACCCACCCTGTTCCCCACACCCCTCATCGCCACAAAGACGAGGGCTCTTTTGCGAGATAATAATCACAATACCCTTATGGTGCCTAAACCAGCAATCCTTTTCAATATCGTCAAGTAATCAGGACCCTGGGATCCGGACGTGCCCCCACCCAGAGCAAGATACAAATGAAAGCCACAGACCCTGCGTGGGGTAGACACACTGTGAGATGAGCCGAGCCCAGAGTCCACTTGGAGTTCTAGAAACCGCTGCCCTGGCACTGCCCCCATGCCAGGCCCACCCTCAGCAGACTGAACATGGGCTCGAGGAGCTGGGACGGGGATGGTGGACCCAGGACAGGCCAACACCCGTCCCCAGCAGGAGCTCCTGACATAGAGTTCCCAGGGCTTCC